CACTCACCGGCCACTTTATTAGGTACCCCATGCTAGTAACGGGTTGGACCCCCTTTTGCCTTCAGAACTGCCTCAATTCTTCGTGGCATAGATTCAACAAGGTGCTGGAAGCATTCCTCAGGGAGTTTGGTCCATATTGACATGATGGCATCGCACAGTTGCCGCAGATTTGTCGGCTGCACATCCATGATGCGAATCTCCCGTTCCACCACATCCCAAAGATGCTCTATTGGGTTGAGATCTGGTGACTGTGGAGGCCATTTTAGTACAGTGAACTCATTGTCATGTTCAAGAAACCAATTTGAAATGATTAGAGCTTTGTGACATGGTGGAAGTAGCCATCAGAGGATGGGTACATGGTGGCCATAAAGGGATGGACATGGTCAGAAACAATGCTCAGGTAGGCCGTGGCATTTAAACGATGCCCAATTGGCACTAAGGGGCCTAAAGTGTGCCAGGAAAACATCCCCCACACCATTACACCACCACCACCAGCCTGCACAGTGGTAACAAGGCATGATGGTTCCATGTTCTCATTCTGTTTACGCCAAATTCTGACTCTAACATCTGAATGTCTCAACAGAAATCGAGACTCATCAGACCAGGCAACATTTTTCCAGTCTTCAACTGTTCAATTTTGGTGAGCTCTTGCAAATTGTAGCCTCTTTTTCCTATTTGTAGTGGAGATGAGTGGTACCCGGTGGAGTCTTCTGCTGTTGTAGCCCATCCGCCTCAAGGTTGTGCGTGTTGTGGCTTCACAAATGCTTTGCTGCATACCTCGGTTGTAACGAGTGGTTATTTCAGTCACTGTTGCCCTTCTATCAGCTCGAACCAGTCTGGCCATTCTCCTCTGACCTCTGGCATCAACAAGGCATTTCCGCCCACAGAACTGCCGCTCACTGGATGTTTTTTCTTTTTCGGACCATTCTCTGTAAACCCTAGAGATGGTTGTGCGTGAAAATCCCAGTAGATTAGCAGTTTCTGAAATACTCAGACCAGCCCTTCTGGCACCAACAATCATGCCACGTTCAAAGTCACTCAAATCACCTTTCTTCCCCATACTGATGCTCAGTTTGAACTGCAGGAGATTGTCTTGACCATGTCTACATGCCTAAATGCACTGAGTTGCCGCCATGTGATTGGCTGCTTAGAAATTAAGTGTTAACGAGCAGTTGGACAGGTGTACCTAATAAAGTGGCCGGTGAGTGTGTATATATATATATATATATATATATATTTTTTTTTTTTTATAAAATTTGTTGGCAAAAAGTAATTTTACATATTTAATAACAAATACAAAAAAAGACAATTTATTAAACAAATGAAACAAAAAAGTACCAAAGAAGCACACCAAAGTTCAAATAAAAAGAAAAAAAAACAATATCAACTGCACTTCTTTTTCCTGTTATTTCTCATCTTTCCTTCTCAATTCTCTCTGTAACCAAACTACAATGACCTTTCAGACATTTCACTGATGGACAACTGTGCCCAAGGACAGATTCAGCCGTGCCCGTTTGCCCCGAGCAGCCCCCTGGCACTGCCCACGGCCCCTGCCAGGTGTGCCTCTCACGGGGCAAGAAAAGAGCAAGGGATGCTCCATTTGGTGGCCTTAAAAAGAAAGGGTCATATTTTTTTAAATAATGTTAAACCTAGGCTGACCAGATGCTAAAAAATAAGAAATGTATTCATTCAGTAAAAAAGGTCTGAAAAAGAATGCGCCTACATCAAAATGTTTGTGCGTGCGTATGTTTGTGTAAGCGTGCAAAAAAAAAAAAGTGAGATTTTTACAAAAAAGGGTTAGATTGACAGATAGACAATGAGCTGTAAAGCTGAGCGTAAAGAGAAAAAGCAACAAGCAAACAAAAGCAGGTTTGATGCTTATTAAAGAAAATTGTAACACTGGCATTATGAAACAGTAACTGGGCTTTTCTTGCCTTGGGATATTCTAAAAAATTCATCAGACTGACAGCGGGAACCACAAGACTGATCAGGGCCTGACAGAGAGGTTCGGACGGGGATCAGACACAAACGCCCCCCCTTGCCCAAACCCCCCCACCCCCAACTCCCCAAATCAAATCAGCAAAAAGACCCGCCGTGGTGACACACCATCACCGTGGTGACAGCCTACACTTCGCCCGCCCGCAGTCCCGCTCTCAAATCCATTCTCTCCAAAAAATTCTGTCTACCGCGTTCTAAACTATGCGCCCCACGCAAACACACACATACACTCTTGTTATGTGCGTTTGGTGCACATAAGGGGGTAGCCGATGTTTGATGTATAATTCATCTCAAAACACCAAGCAATACTCTTTATTCTGTTCTTTTAATGTCTAATGTAACACAGCTTCAGTGATAGCTCAAACCGGACTGTAATGAGGACCGAGTACCTGAGCCAGTTCATCAAAAGCAAGGTTATTATAGAATAAAAAAAAAAACCAATGTGAATTCAGCTTCATAATTCATCATTACGACCTCAGAAAGAAAAAAAAAATACTCATTTAAACCTGACATTATTTTTCTACATTAAATATATTGATTGCAATAATCAACAAATGCAACATTCTAATAAAACGTTAATTATTTAACTTATTAATAACTTAACAAAATGGAAAATTATATATTTCTGTAACAACCTACAGAGGATATGGTGAAAAATGAATAGCTTGGATTTTAATGTAGATATAAAAAGTTTTTTTCTAATCAGGTAAGTGGCAGGGGGTCCAAATCTATTGTCATTAATGTAATACTGTTAGTTCTAACATAGAGAGCAATAGAAAAGCTCCCTACGGGCATCAGTCAGTCTAACTGTGAACACAGACAAGAGGGAGATGCAGTCACAGCTACTGAATATCAAACCTAGAGCACAGAATCCACCCTGTCTGACTTTACATTGTATCAACTAAAATCAAATATAAAGCTTTAGAAATGTCAATGTGATAAATTGCCAGGAATTATTACAGAGATGAATGCAAGTAACAGCAGAACACGTTCAAGGCTGAGTGCAAAACACTTCTATAGCCTATAAGTGTTCTGAGGAGGTCACTTTACTGGCTGGATGGTCAATAAAGAAGTTATTTTTTAGCTCGTTTTTATGCATGGGCCCTTTAACATTTGTTTGAAATATTTTAATGCATCTTTGAGAACATATTGACTCACTTTCATTAATGTAATTTTCTAATGAAATGCATATTGCAAATGTTCTAGTGGAGTGCATGTTCGCACTTGTCAATAAAAGTGCATTCATCAGTAAGAATAAATTGTTTGTAATGAATTCAGAATTATGCACATAAATTAAATATATAAGCACAACAGAAAATGTCTTGATTTCTTTAAGGTAGAAGAGATTATAGAGCAGGAAAGGACAGACACATGCAAGAAAAAACTAAAAGTTATGAAATTCCTGTGTAGTGCATGCTACTTTAGGAAATGAAATATAAGGGTGAGTGTCTAAAAAAAAAATTTAAGGTGATGTTTGGAGTCTATAAACTAAATAGCACGATTTTAAACTGAGAAAATTGTAGGTTGATTCTGAATGGTTTCTGACTTCTATTCAAATTGAAAAATTTAAATCTGTCTGAAAGAAGCCAGCAGCAAGGTTACTACACGAGTCTTAAAAAGTATCATTAACGTTTCAAAATTGACAATCACAGCAAACAGTCCATCAATGCACGCTCAATCCAAAGGGCTGGAAACCAGTCTTTCACACACTACATCACTGCTGAGCAGTGGAAGGATTCGAAAGGCTTTTTTTCTGTAACACAAGGTCTGAGCAAATATCCTGACCGCAAGATACATCAAATTTTAACATAATGCTGAAGAGCACATTATATTAGGATGTTAATTATATCCAACATGTTAAGATTTTTCAAATATATTTCGTCAGCGCTCATCAAATATGCCAAAATTCGATAAAGTATGCTCAATACTCAGAAAGCATAATTAAAAAGCCTGTTTAATGTTTAAAATAATTTTGTTTTCATGTTTTTCATGAATTTTGTTTTCATGAATGAGATTCGTGTTTTTAAATTAAACCTCATTTAGCATATTAACAATTTTAAACTTCTGAAATAGTATTGCACTGAAACAGATATGTTCATATAAGTATACATATACATAATAATATTATTAGTAATAATTATATAGTAATACGATATTAGTAATAAAATTATAATATTCACCGTATCAATTTATTATTATTATTATTATTATCATCAATATTGTTATGACGACAACGTCACTTTTGAATGTTTGCGGTGTCTTTTAAAGAGATTCAGGGTATAAGTTGCTCCTCATCAAGAATATACCATTCAGTCTGCTTAGATGTGAACTCCTCATGAGGCCGTGGAGCCACAACAATCACATTTCTCTCCCTCAGGCCTCTTCACTTTCTCTCATTTTATCTTCAGCCTAAGCCGAGGAGATCTCAAATGTGAAGAAATGTCACCCTGTGTGACAGATGAGTGTGTGCGCGAGGGTGTGTGTGCGTGTACATTATACGTCTCCTGTTGCCTATTTGCCCCAGATTCTGTCACATTTTTCTGCTTTATGAACACCAACAAAAAAACTGGTCCCCACATACCGCATGGCTGCACCCCACCAGCGTCACAGGAAAAGGACACTTCCTCCACAAGCTTTCCACAGTGGAAATTTGACAGATCGGACGGTAAAACGCGTTATGAAATATCAACTACTCAAACACACGGAGAAAACTTGAAGAACAACTTCATTTGGACTTTCTAAACATTCACACTCAATAGAAACGATATGTTACAAACAAACTTAAATCTAAGGAATTATGAGACATAATTCGAGGTCATTTCAAAACGAATAAGAGACACAATACACTTGAACCACAACTTTCACCTGCTCTGTTCCAGCACTTTCTACCACAACATCTCGCAGACACAAACAAACAAACACACTCGTCGGTGTTAAGTTCCCCCGCACATGACCCCGGGGTGTCAGTCACAATAACAAGGACGATGAAGGCTGGGACTCACCATACATCTTCTCTTCCGAGTCTGTGTCAGCTGACAGGAGCAAGGGCTCATCGTTGAGATCGCTGTCCGGGCTGGCCGCTTTGTCGTCATCCCGCAGCTCGCAGGCGTCCATATCGGCACGCAGGGGGAGCAGCGGTTTGCTCAGCTGCCCTGTGATCATCGGATCCTGGAGGAAGGATCAGGTCGGGAGGACAATGAGGGGGGAAAAAGGCAAAAGAAGTGATGTTAGCTTTGGTACGCACTGGTTCACTCTCACTGGGTCTCACGCACACACATGTCCGTTCATTTCCTCGCTTTCGGTCTCTCTCTCTTTGCTTTCTGAAACTCGCCACCTCTTCTAACACTCTCAGTGGTAGCGCTTGCTCTCTCTCTCTTTCTTTTTTTTTTTTTTTTGAGGGTACTCTGGCTGTTGCTACTGGCTGTAGCGCTGAAGAGCTCTTGTGGATGGCAGAAATTTGAAAAGATTTTGGTTAAAAATGCTCCACTTGTCAAATGACTCATTTTCACGAGTATCACCCAAGAGCCATCAGCGTTAAAATAGAACACTTAAGTTACATATAAATGTGGCACATTTGTTAAGCAAAAAAAGTGTTTTGTTTTAATTAACAAAACTTTTTGCACTTAACAGTAAGAATGCAAATAAGAGTTAAAATGTTGATTTTCTTAACCTATTTGTGGTTGCCAATAATATATATATTTGAGAAAGAATCAGAAACACTTAATCGAGAATGTAATGGCCCACTTTAGTCAACTTTGATTTACATATTCTCTCAATATTCACAGATTGTTCTCACCCAATCCGTTTGTTGAATGGAAGAGCAATTTTGTGATGTTTTATTTTAAGTATTAACCCTAGAGTTCTTTTGAATAACTTATCGTTAAATACACACAATAAATACAATAAAGATATCTAAATAAAAATTAAGGTTTAGGGTCCAATTCTCACGATTAACTAACTATTAACAGTTACTTTTGCCTTAATAAACTCCTAACTGATGCTTATTAATAGTTAGTAAGGTAGTTGTTAAGTTTAGATATGGGTAGGATTAAGGGATGTAGAATATGGTCATGCAAAATAATGCAATATGTCCTTTATAAGTACTAATAAACAGCCAATATGCTAGCAATATTAATGCTAATAAGCAACTAGTTAATAGTGAGAATTGGACCCTAAACTAAAGTGTTACCAAAATTAAAGACAATTTAAGTAAAGAGTTCAATAAATAAATAGAATAAGTAAAGTTTAAATCAATAGACAGAAGCGAGAAAAAGTTCTACGACAACATGAAACTTACCAGAAAGGTGCTTCCAGATGAAAGAGAAAAATATTAGAATTTTTTACGCTCCAATAATCTTACTTTGCTAAAATCCAAGAGCAGTTAGAGCATGCCAGAGTGTGATGCGAGATCAGTCAGTGCATGCTTGTCACAAAGCCCAAAAACCAGTGTGGATAACGCAAATACATCAAGTGAGCACTGCTGGTGCAAGCCTGGGATTGCCTCTGGAGACTTGCTCGAGATGTCACCTCCACTCTCTCTCTCTCTCTCTCTCTCTCTCTCTCTCTCGTGCGCTTCAGAAGTACCTCCCCCCACACCTTCTGATGGTGAGACGCACAAACAAATGTGCAGACATGGGGAGGGCAAAAAAAGCTGCTTTTCTCTTTTCACGCTCCCTTATTTATAGAGTCGTTTCTGTCCAAATGAGTCAGAGACGGGGGCCAGATGACCAGTTTGGATCGAGCCTTGCGGGGAACGGAGGAAATCAAGCGCCATCACGGGACTTCTGCCCCCCTTAATTCTGCCCCACCTCAGGAGGGTCGATGAATGGCAGCCCGTGGGGCTTCTGTTAATGTGCTTATCAGATGGAGTGCATGAGAGTTTGATATGACACATGATAATCTATGAAAATGTAAATCAATAGGAATAGTTTAAGCTGTCATTTGCGGTGCGGCCCGCTTGGTCAATACTCATATGCTTTGCAACAATGTCTCTTGTCATCGCTTCACTGGAGTTTTTCCTCAGTGCACTTATGCACAAGCGACTCACCAACGCATCTCTATCTCGGAACGCTGCTGAACGAGGGAGCCTCTAATGCTGCACTCATTTAAGTCACAACATCCATCCATCCCTCCCTCCTCCCATCCCTTCTTTCCCCTTTGAGCTGCCTGATAGGTCCAGTGGAGGGCAAAATTAATACCTAATTGAATTGTGAAGTCATCAAAATAATCAATACTTTTTTATTATTTATTCTTTACAGTCTGTTGACTGAACGAGAGCTGTGAGAGGCAGAGAGAGAGAGAGAGAGAGAGAGAGGAGAGGAGAGGGGGGACAGGCCTGAGAGGATGCAATACAATGTAATTTTCACCACGGGCTGCTGAAGAAGAGAGGGCACAATAAAACAGAAGGAAAATTACAAGAAAAAAAAATGAGGGAAGAGAAAATAGGAATTTTTCCACAAGTTATAACCAGATTTTAGCATTTTTTTGAAGAAAGTGCTTGTTTTCACCACGATTGGTTGCCGGGGTGCTTATGCAGTTGCTAAGGTGTGTAAGATCTAGATGCTTGGTAAGGTTCTTGGATATTGCTAGTTGCTCATTTTATTATTTTGGGGTAATTCAATATATATTACCATTCAAAAGTAAGTTTGTTAAAGACATTTTTATTTTTTAGTGCTGGGCAACGATTAATCGTGATTAATCCAAAATAAAAGTTTGTGTTTACATAATATATGTGTGTGTGCTGTGTATAATTATTTTTTATATATAAATACACACACATGCATGTATATATTTAAGAAGAAAAAATATTTAGATATAAAATATTTATATGTATATATAATATAAATCATGTATAAATATATATATACAGTATATACATAAAAATATTTCTTAAATATTTAGAAAGGACACACAACTTGTTTCTAGTATTCATCAAAGAATACTTTTCACAAAAATATGAAGCAGCACAGCTGTTTTTAACATTGATAATAATAAAACTTTTCCCTGAGCACCAAATCAACATATTAGAATAATTTCTAAAGGATCATGTGACACTGAAGATTGAAACGGCTGCTGAAAATTCACATTTTTTAAATATTTTAACAGCTATTTTTAAAATGTAATAGTATTTCACAATACTTCTGTTTTTACTGTATTTGTTTATCAAAAGCCTTGGTGAGCATAAAAGATTTATTTCGAAAACATTTAAAAATTCTTACCAAACTTTTGAACATTAGTATAATTTTACATTTAGTCTTTTAAACTTTTATTTTAAATATTTATTACTGTTTGTGTCCATTATTCGCTGGTGCCAGAACAAGTCTAACACTGCTTTGCTAGTTTTTTTTAATAATAAAATAATCCATGTAAAGTCATATACCTTAAAGTCTCGCCTTCTCTTGCTCTCTCCTTTTTCCTGGCTTTCTCTCTCACAGTTAATTACACTAATGAAACAGGGGCTCCCATGGCAGTTCTTCATGCCAAAGAGCATATGTGAAGGGACCTGGGGAGTGTGTGCGCGTGTCAGTGTGTGTGTACTTTATGCGTGTGTGTTTGGGATCGCCTTACTCCCTCTCGGCCACACAGGAGGAGAAACAAGAAAAAGCACTCGAGCCCCTCTCCCTCTCTTTCTCCTTTGCCTACTCTGAGGGTCATTTCTGACCCTTTTCCTCATAAGATATCCATGCTAATTGCTAATGGCCTTAGCTGCCAGGGCCTCTGCCGTCCCCCGGGTCCACAAAAAGGGTCTTAGAATGGACCCCTGAATAGTCTTCTGATCACACATGCCATTTGCTGAGCAATGTTTTCCCTATATCTTCCTTCTATGTTTCCTCATTCACATAATTATCGATAACCAAAAGATATAAAAATGTGCTTGTTTCATTAGATAAAACACAATATATAATATTAAAATAAATGAAATAATAATATTATTGGAACCAGTATTAATAACATAATATTTAAATGTGACATCAACGTTTCAGAATGATTGTCCAGTAACACTCTTAAAGCCTTTATATAATGCATTAAAAAAAAGAATGCATTAATTATGCTTTGTAATTCCCCTTATGCATTGTATGGTCTTATGAATAATTGTAACCACAGTTATAATATAATACATTATAATAATCATGTTGCACCTTAAAAACGCACGACCAACAACCAGTTTCAGATGTAACAAGGAATCAGCAAATATTATAATTCATTTTAACTTTGGTTACAATTATTTATGAAAAGATATAATACATTACAACTTACATTATGAATACCTTTATAATGCATTACAAGTTAAGGCTTTAAGTTAAGTGTTACCAATTGTCTCATTTGTTTTAAACAATCAATATAAAGTATACAATATGGACTGAGTAAGTTTTAGTTAAATTAGGACATTTAAGTAGTTTTTTTAAACATGCCTTAGAAATAACATTACTTCTGTGTATCTTGAGACAAAACGATGTCACTGACATATCTCAAAATATGTCAGTACAAGTTGCTTTCAGTTAATACAGATCAAAAATGTAAGTGATTTTTGTTTAGGTGGATTTTAAGAGGAATCTGTGTACAAATCCTCTGAGCTCTGTTTAAACTCAGTTTCCTTTAGAACCGGCTTTTGTGTTAAAGGTCTGTCTCCCCCATAGGGCTGGAAACATATCACCTCTTTCTCTAAGTCTCAGGGACCTTAAAAGACACATTTTCTCAAATATAGCCTAAATTACATACGGATTTCAGCCTGGTATTACAGACAGGGCTTAGATTAAGCCAGGATTAGGCCTTAGTTAAATTAAGACATCTAAGAAGCTTTTATAAACGTGCCTTAGAAAAACATTACTGGTGTGCATCTTGAGACAAAACTGAAAACCGCTCTCAGTTAAGACAGCTCAAACATACATTTTAGTCTGGGAATAGCTTAATCATTGTCTGTGGAAAAGGGGGTTCATTGCTTTATATTAAGAAATCAGTATTTAAAAGAACATTTGTGCTTTTGTTTTTGCTTATTATAATTTTTTATTTTGTTTTTACACTGTATAGCCTATTTTATACATGGATTCACTCACTATCAAATTGCACATTGTTTGGAGGAATAACACTTTTTAAATAATCAATTAAAATGAACTTTTTTTCATTAAAATGATTCATTTTTAATTAATTTCTTACATCAAATAAATAACCGAGAGATTAATTGGCTATCAAAATAATCATTAGTTGCAGCGATTAATTCATATTAAATTATTAATTTATAATAAAGCTACTTTTCTGACTTTCATAATAAAAAAGTGGGACACTAAAGATTAATAATCTTTACCGTTAGAACATTGCTTTCATACTAGTTAAAGGATGAATTTTTTTATTGATTCATTTAACCAGGGACAATACACATAATTAAAAAAAAAGTAGATTTAGCCAATTGGCAAATTTTTAGCCTTAGTCTCTAGGAAGGTTGTTGTTAAAAAATAAAAGAAACAGAAAACAAATATGTCATCACACAAATACAAAACTACCATATTAGAATCTCTGCAAATCCTCACAATTTTTTTTTTTTTTAGACAGCAACCACTTTTTCAACTTGATGCTGTTTTTCTGGCCAGATGCGCCCAAATGACAAAGATAATGAAGTCCTTGTATTCCTCCATCTATATCTAACATAATATTTAAAATCAATTAATTTACATAAGTGCACTCAATCTTGTTACATTCATACAATTGTAATATTTATGTAGAATGAACCCTAATTGATTTTTACTTCCAGGAAAATTGATGCATGGCTGAATTTATGGTGCATTTGTCAAAGCAACAGCCGGTGTCTTTGTGATGCTGCTCAGATGAATCTACTTAATTGACTAGGATCAGAGAACAGTGAGAAAATGTGTCATAGCCTATCAAAGATGAGTGCTGGAGAAAGCTCTGATGCTTCAGACACTATCAGGCCCCCCTCAGATATATATAAAGAGTCATTGATTGTTCAGAAGGGTGAGTTTGTGTGCATGTGGGGGTTTTTTCACTTGTTTTTTTTTTTTCTTTTGCTACATCGATCTCAGAGCTGACCTTATGGTGCATCAAAGCCTACAGGAGCTAATCTGCCCTCTGTGTTATGACCTGAGCACAGAAAGATAGCGTTCAAGGGGGTGAAAGAGACAGAATACAGAGAAGCTAGCGGGAGGAAGTGGAATTCACACTTGTTACTGAGAGAGATTAAAAAGAGAAAGTCCAAATACTCACATAAGCATCATCTACTCAAAGGTCTTCATCAGCATGCTTCCTTGGTCGGTCACTGATGGTAACATTGTCTGGATTCTCATTGGCTGACGGGCAGGGGAGTTCTCAGGGCCTGTCTGTTGTCTGACACTGACAAATAGTTTTTAATACCTTGAATTTCCAGCATCTTCTGCCCAGCATGTATAGTGGACAACAGATATCAGAGTGTATGAATACTCACAGTTTCATGGACATTATCACTTAGTGGTAAGGTTCGCTGTCTTGGGAACTATGCATGACTGCAAGACACTATTCGGGTTGGCATTAAAGCTGCAGTCGGCAAGTCTGGTAGATTGAGTGGACTTAGGCAAAATGTTGAATGTTTACAACTCTCATGGCCCTCCCGCACTATCAACGAATACCCTCCCACCGAGTTCGTGCTCGAGTGCGTGTGCACCAGATTTTCTGTGAACGCGCCCATCAGCATCCATCAACACCATGAATTATTTGGAGGTATGCTGTCCTTTTTTGCAAAACTAATAACACGCTAGGTGGAGTTAGAAGCTCGGGGTTTTTTCTAAAACCCCTTTATTTATGTTGTTCTGTCGGATTATAGTGTCGATTTTACTGAACATGATCAAAAAAAATTTGCCGACGGCAGCTTTAACAGATTTCATGTATCGATTCGATATCTTTTTGTTTTGGATATACATTATATCATATAAATATGAACCCTGTTAGGTACTGCATTACTGTAATATTAAAAGTGAACAAAAAGGTGAGTCCAAATTCAATTTATAATGCTATTTATTTTGTGAAATAATAAACACTTAAATAAAAACTGAGTTGTATAAAA